TTGAACTCTTTCATCCAATACCATAGATCTGCAGAAATTCAGGGATATATGATCTCTCTAGGTAAAAACACTATCTCACACGTGGATTTAAGTTTTGCAGGTTTTTGCGCACCAATCTTCGCACGACGACGAACACCTTTTTAGGAAATTTGGGGTTTTTGTTTTCTGTTCTTCTGCTGCGCATGTGATGTCGCCCCTAGATTTTCCAATAATTAAGGCTTGCCAACCTCGCACTATAACTGCCACGATCTCATTTGCACGTTTGCATAAGGAAAAAAATAGCATGAAGAATCAGTAAAACAAAGGTTTCAACAAATAAGTGATCAGCAAGCCGCCCACCCCGTCTACTCCCAACCGAAACCCAAACATCTGAAGACTAACCCGAGAAGAACTCAAGGAAAGATTAGCGAAGGGTCTATGCTGGCATTGTGATGAAAAGTGGAGTAAGGAGCACCGATGCAAACAAGGGAAGCTTATGATGATTAAACCAATCGAAGAGGAATCGGAAGCTGACGATGTGGACTTCGATCATGAAGGTATGGAAATTGATGAAGATATTGAACCTATCACACATACAGTGCATGCATTAGCCAGCTACTCTAACCCGCAAACTATAAAAGTTGAAGGAACTTTGAAACATCAGCCTATTACTGTTTTGATTGATACTGGTAGTACTAACAATTTTCTGGACAATAAGGTTACTGCCCGATTGGCCTAACACATTGAAGGTTGTGACAAATTTGAAGTAAAAGTCACTGATGGACGAGTGATAGCAAGTGTTTGGAGATAAAATTGATTATACAGAGCCAAGAATTACTTGTGGATTTATTTTTGCTATTCCCGGAAGACTACGAAGTGGTGCTTGGAATTGAATGGCTATCAACCTTGGGTGATGTTTCCTGGAATTTTTCTAAACTAATCATGAAGTTTTTTATTAATGGAAAGTAGGTGATCCTAAAGGAAAGGCGTGGGAAGTAAGGTCACAACTATCGCTAGCCATCGAATGGAGAGGGTTCTTCGGAAGACACACACCGGATTCTTAGTACAGTTGTAGAGTATTGAAAAGGAAGCGATAATGCACAACCAAACCGAAGATGTTGAATCATTGCTCAAAGAGTTTGCAGATGTATTCGCAGATCCACAGGGACTCCCACCTCTTCGACCTCATGATCACCAAATTCCGATATTACCTGGGAGAGCTCCAACCAACGTCCGACCCTATAGATATCCACATTTTTAAAAGGCAGAGATAGAGAAGATTGTCAAAGAGATGCTGGAAATAGGGGTCATAAGAGCTAGCGTCAGCCCATATTCTTCCCCAGTCCTGCTAGTAAGAAAGAAGGATGGTTCATGGCGGATGTGTGTGGACTACACAGCACTCAATAGCATTATAATGAAAGACAAGTACCCTATTTCAACAGTAGATGAGCTGTTGGATGAATTGGGAAGAGCCCAGGTCTTCACTAAATTAGACCTACAATCAGGCTATCACCAAATCCGAGTACATGAAGATAATATTCAGAAAACCGCCTTCAGAACACATAACGACCACTATGAATTTCTGGTAATGCCTTTTGGGTTAACCAATGCACCCTCTACCTTTCAGAGTTTAATGAATGATATATTTCGAGCTTATCTCCGTAAGTTTGTTCTGGTTTTCTTTGATGATATTCTGATATACAGTCCCTCCTCAGAGAGTCATTTATTACATTTGTGGATTGTCTTAACTATCCTTCGTGCGTATTGTCTTTTTGTCAAGAAATCAAAGTGCAACTTTGTGCAACTAGCGGTTAACTATCTCGGCCATATCATCACTCAAAAGGGTGTTGTAGTTAATCCTTCAAAAATCTAGACGATGAAAGGCTGCCAAATTCCAAAATCAATAAAAGCTTTAAGGGGATTCTTGGGACTCATGGGCTTTTATCGAAAGTTTATGAAAAATTATAACAAAATCAGTGTCCCCTTGACATCGCTTTGAAAAAAGATGTATTTAGATGGTGAGGCAACCCAGGCTTTCAACTCCTTGAAGACTACAATGGCTACTACACCAGTGCTTGCTTTACCCAATTTTAACAAACTATTTGTAATTGAATCTGATGCTTCCGGAGCAGGTATTGGAGCTGTATTAATGCAGGAAGGTCGACCCATTACTTATACTAGTAAGGCTCTTTCCCCTTCTCATTTAAATTTATCTATTTATGGCAAGGAGATGATAGCCATTGTACATGCAGTCACGAAGTGGAGACCCTACTTAATTGGTCGACGGTTTCAAATATGCATTTATTACAAAAGCCTAAAATATTTCCTGGAGCAAAGGATGTCTTCTTTAGAGCAACATAAATAGGTCACTAAGCTACTGGGATTCGATTATGAGATTATTTATAAAAAGGGGAACAAGAATTTAGTTGCAGATGCACTCTCACGCTTTCCAGAATAAACTGAATTAGTAGCTATCTCTATTCCTACTTGCAAGACTTCAGAAATTATCAGGAGGGAATGGTCAGATGATCCTGAGATCCAAGATAATATTAGAAGACTAAAAGAAGCTCCGGGTTCCGTTCTAAATTATAGCTGGGATTCGGTGGACTTACGCTATAAAGGTCGAATAGTTATAACACCATATTCTTCTTGCCAAGCAATAATTCTGAAGGAGTTCCATTCATCACCAATTACTGGTCATTCCGGATTTCTCCGCACTTACAGACGAGTCCAACAACTTTTCTACTGGAAGGGTATGAAAAATTTTATCAAGAAGTTTATTGTTGATTGTGATGTTTGCCAATGCCATAAGAGTGAGACAGTAGCTACCCCAGGTTTGCTTCAGCCCCTCCCTATTCCTGATGTTGCTTAGACCGACATATCCATGGACTTCATTGACGGACTCCCACCATCACAAGGGAAAAGCACTATATTTATAGTTGTTGATCGGCTTATGAAGTATGCTTATTTTTGTGCTTTATAAAATTCTTATACTGCCGCAAGTGTTGCTCGTATTTTTGTTGAGAACATAGCTAAATTGCATGAGATTCCCCGTTCCATTGTTAGTGACAGAGATAGGGTTATTACTAGCACCTTTTAGACAAAGCTTTTTCGTTTACAGGTACTCAACTGAATATGAGTACTGCTTATCATCCACAAACAAATGGGTAGACTGAAGTGGTAAATAAGTGCCTAGAAAATTATCTCAGATGCTTTACTAGTGACAAGCTAAAGGAATGGACTAAATGGCTTCCCTGGGCAGAGTAGTGGTATAATACTTTCTACCATTCTTCTATTAAAATAACTCCCTGTGAAGCAGTTTATCGTCGAACCCCACCTGCAATTGCAAAATATGTACCCGACTCCTCTAAAGTTGATCAAGTGGACAAGGAATTGCTTGACAGAGACAAGATTATTCAGCTTTTAAAGGATAACCTCGCAGCCACACAAGCAAGAATGAAACAGCAAGCTGATAAACACCGAAGTGAATAAGAATTTGTCATGGGTGATTGGGTTTTCCTTCGTCTTCAGCTTTACAAGCAAACTTCCATAAAGGTCCAATCTTCTATGAAGTTGTCTCCTCGATTTTTTAGGCCTTATAAAGTATTAAAACGCATTGGACCAGTTGCCCATCGTCTGGATTTGCCGGCTAGCTCCAAGATACACCCAGTTTTTCATGTTTCCTGCCTTAAAAAGAAGTGAAGATGAGATAGTGCAACACCATTTGCCGGACATCTCTACTGCTAGTGAAGTTCAAGTTTAACCGCAAGCCATACTTGATCGACGAGTTGTGATGCGCTGCAGACATCCTGTGACTAAAGTGATGGTGCAATGGGCTAACTTACCAAAGGAAGATGTCACTTGAGAGTCCTACAAGGCGCCGAAAGAGAAGTTCCCAGAGTTTGGTACTGCTCAGCCTTGAGGATAAGGCTAAATTGAAGGGGGGAGGAATGTTAGGATCCCCTGATTTCTCTGAGTCCTAAACTAATTTAAAGAATATATTCTCTTGAGTCTTGCAGTTCCAGTAGGAGTCGACTAGGCCTTCTAGTCGGCTAAGGGTCTAATTGAGATTTGTTATTTTGATTAGGAATCCAAATCCTAGTGGACTAAGGGGTGGAACCAGGAGGCCGATCCCCTCAAAGTGATCTTATCTCTCTTTCCCCCCTTTCTTCTATGATAAAACCCTAGGGTTACACACACACACACACACACACAAATGGTAAATATGTAATACCTAAACTTAAATTTGCAATTATATCTATCTCTGTTATGCTTGCAAAGTTGCAATTTCCATATCAATATAAAAAAAACAAAAAACAAATAGGATAGAAAAGGGGAAGAGGAGAGCAAACAAGAGATAAGTCACTATCGCTCAACATTTTTTGCATCTAATATATACAAGAGAAATAGATGGGTACCTTTGACAAACTAAACCTTAAAGTTTCACACCTTAGAAGTCAACTTCAGATGCCCTAAGACCATGGGGGATTGTTTGTCCAAAATAAAAGGACAGCCAAATATACACGGCTTTTACAAATGCAGGTTTTAGGGAGACAGTCTATGTGTGTGCCTTACCCCTATAAGCAGGAAAGTTATTTCCATGATTCAAGCTCTGTCACCTAGATCAGAAAAGTGCAACCTAACAGGACTATTTATCCAATTTAGCAAAATCAAATAGACCAATAAAAGCCTGAAACCAATGTAATTATTATATTAATCAGCAATTACCTTTGCTAGTCCTTTTCATAATTTGATAGTTTATTCTCTTCAATCAAAGATCATTATTATCATCTCTGAAAACCTATATACCAGATCTTTTAAATTTATTGATATTGCAAGGTAGCAAGCATACACAATTGAGACAACAAGCTTAACAAACTTTCCAATTTTATCTACAATTTAATGTTCTCCTTGTATGAGCAACATGTACTAGTAGCATATTTTGATTAGATAACAAAACATAAGATTGATAACTAATATAAAACTGTAGTAAGAGGGTACTGGTCCTGAAGGGAGCAAACCTGTGGCATCCAGAGCACGAATTGCTTCACAAAATACATTTGCTTTCTCATGGCGACGTGTGATATCGTTTCCATGAGATTGCACGCAAGTAAGTTGGAAAATTTTTGACAACAGATGTATGAAATGTCAAGGACAAAGGCAGAAAAAGGAAGGGAAAAAATAGAACATCCAAAACTATATATATATAGATATATATATTAAAGCACATCCAGAACATAAAGGATATATTCACGTAGCCTGTCTGTCGTATGTGGTACAGCCACAAGTAGTGCCCGAACAACAGTAAGAGTAGCTTCATGCGATCCATCTTCAAGAAAAGCATCCATTTGTATGCGTATCTTGTCAACTATCTGAAAGATAACCGCTTGGTTAGCCTACATTTAAATATTTATTTCAAAACTAAAGATATAGTGCAATAGCATTTCTTTAGTACCACATCATTTTTGAAATGCTGTGCAACAGCTCCAAATGCTTCTATGCTTGCATATTTTACATTCAAATTTGGATCAGAACCAAGAGTGACAAGAGCAGGCAAAACATGTGTAGAAGCCACTTTCACATCAATATATGGTACCTACAATTTGCATAAATGGAGTTAAAGCATCCAGTGCTATAAAAGAAGAAGAAAGTATCTGCAATATTTGTGAAAGAAATATACAAGGACTTTCAAGAGAACTGCTGCATTCGTCTTCATATTCACATTGGTGCTAGCTACCATCTCCCATAGGATATTAAAAATGACTCCATGATGTTCCTCAAATATGCTGGATTAAACCCCATATTAGTGAAATCATATGAAGGAACAGTAACAACATAGTAACCATGCATTATTTCAAAATACTAACCAAAGAAAGCGAACTGCATCAATCACCTCAGCATTGTAATGAACAAACCATGAATCTTCTTTGCTATTATTTTGCACTAGCAGTTTTCTCAAGTAATCTGGCAATTTTTCATGGCTGGTTGGAGCCCCTAAAATACCAGACAACAACAAAGGAAGAATGCACATGAGAGAAAGTCTCTCTGCCACAGGGGTTTTAGGCTGCAATCCTGCAACGAAGGAAAAGAAAGCAAGATCAGTGGTCATTAACAAAGAATAATTTCATCAATGATTGTGAAATTGGCTACATAGCAGAATATTCCAATGGATGATGTGAAGAGACTCTTCAACCAGTCAGGTTGATCAATCATCAATGTTCATAGTTTACACAGTCCAAAGTTCCTATTAGTGAAAACTTAAACGACAGAGGAGTGCCATGAAGCAGGTACACAAATATGCCTAAATGATTATACTAAGTTCATTAATATTGAAAATAACAGAAAAACATAACGCCTCTTGAGATGGTCCAACTACCTTTGATTCTGGACTTCATGGTTGAAGGAAAATATGTCAAATCTGCAGCATCACTATCGCCAACAGCTATCAAGAAAACAGGAAGCACTATATGTGAAAGATATTGTTCCCCAAATAATTTAGGTACATCCAGAAGGTACTGTATGTACAAAAAAACCAAGAAATCAACAGGTCAGAGTTCATTACCCTGGGAATAAGCAGTGAGTCTAAAGGGAACCAGTTAAATAACAATTACTACTGACTTACCTTTATTATTCGAGTTCTTAAATTGTCTTCCTTGTAAGATAAGAGACAAGATAGCTGAATCAAGTCTGGAAGGCAATCCACATGCATCCAATCAAACATAGGCCAAATTGTATGGTTCCTATTCAAAGTGTATTTTACAAAAAAATATGTAGATCAGCTAATGTTAAAGCAAGAAAAAAGTAATTAAAAATCAATATGTTTCAGAAATGGACGAACTAGAAGGGCCTCAAATCATGTGAGTAGCTAACCCTGCATATAACTGAAGCAAAGAGGTTGAGAAGAAAGAATTTTGTTGTTCTGATACAGCAAGAGGTTCTGCTATATTAAAAGGGCATGTTTCAATAGCTTTACGCTGGACAAATGGCAGCAACTCTGTCAACATCCGAAGTAGCACATCAATATTCCAGCGTTCTTGTTCTCCTAGAACACGCAAGTGAGAATCTACAGAACCTTCAACCCCTGATAGAGGTGGACACCGCTGGCAAATAATTTCCGACAGTGTATTAGCAAGAAAGCCAAATCCAGTAATGTTAGAGGAGTCAGCAAATACTACACAACAGTACCTGAGCAGAACCTAATATGTGGGAGAGTATGACTCGTAAAACATGGTCCAGTTTGCCACCCCAATTTATCACTGCAGGAACAAGTTCTTTGATTGTGGTATCAACAACCATTCCTGAAGGATCACATACCAACAGGAACATGAGCTCTTCAACCTATGAAACAAAAACATGCATTTCAGATAAGAATTCAGTTGTGATCAATTTGTTTAACCAGGAAGTAAGCTCCTAAGCCACTCCTGGAGCCATTTGTTACAGCCTATTATATAGCTTACATTTTAGACAATTCTGTGAACTCAATTTTCTGCTCCATGATAGCCTCTTAGCATTAATGAGGCTGACCTTAAAATATTTGTCCAAATTTGGGAAGAGCGGAAGCAGCAGCGCCAGGTTATGAGCAGCAGCTTCTCGGACAACTGTGGCAGAATCCTCAATTAATTGTTGAATGATGGATAGAATCAGAGAATCACGAATCTCCGGTCGAACAAATTCTGCAAGCTCTCCGCATGACTGAGCAACTAGTAGCCTACGCTCCTCATATTTATGATTAATCTGCATATCAGTTTCAACATATTGACCATGTTGCTTAAATAGATGAAGGAGATTAAGACAACTATAAATTACCTGTTCCCAACACTGAGGAAGCAACTCTGTTTCAGTTCTCATGTCTCCTACGTTTTTTGCGAGGGTAACACAGGCCTGTAAAGAAAATACAAATGGTGATAAGCAACTCATTTAGCTACTCTTTTCTTCAATAAAAAATAAGGAAAAAAAAAACGAAGTCATTTAAACCATGTCTTAATGCAGGAACTCACATCCATAATGATGCGCCTTTGATGTTCATCTGGCCGTTTTATAAGATTAAATAATGTGTGTGTTAAGGAATCTCTAATTGTACCATCTGGATGGCGCTCAATCGCACACATAATCAATGGAAGAAGCTCCTGCATCCATGACATAGCTCATGTAATCTAAGTTTCAAAATATGTAGACAAAGGAAGAAAATCCAGATAAGAACCTCACGATGGTTGATCAAAACATAGGGAACAATCTTAGGTAATGCATCTGAAAGTATTTGGATGGTCTCCATTGCCTAGCAAGAAAAAGAAGTTAAACTCGTTCTTTACATATCCACCAAATAGAAGAATACTAGTGTTAGACACACGTTTTCTTAGCATTTACCATCTTTCAGTTCTTACCTTCTTGAGAGTCACTGAATTTTGGTCTAATCCTTTATCATCGGATTGTGATTCAGAAATGAGGTTATGAACATTCTCTTGGTATTCAACAGCACCATTACAAGAAACAATTGTTGAATCAGAAACAACATCATTAGCCTTAGATCTAACATCTTCAAATGTCTGGTAACCATCATTTCCATCTGAATTGGTAGATAATGATTCAACAGATTTAGATATAACAGCCAATTCATTGATCTCAACAACTTTTTCCTCCATCTGCACATCCTCACTAAGAGATTTAACAGATTCTGGATTTCTTGTTGAAGAATCAACACCCTTAAATTCTTCTAGTTCATTATATGATGATTTCTTTTCTTCCTTAGATTTTTCAGTATAAGGAGGCTTTTTGTTTTCCCCTTCTCCGGTTGCCCATCCTCTACTAGCTCGAGCTCCTTCTATGTGCATCTTCAGTGCAGTGATTTCAGCTCTGTAGTCATTAAGTTGCTGTCTCTGAAGATCCATGGACTGTTTAAGATCAAGTACCTTCAAACAACACAGATGTCAGCTGTATAGCCATGAAGCTAACTTGCAGAAAGATTGTGGACATGAGTGATACCAGAATGTCTCTATCTTTCAAATCTTTGTGTGCACCTTCCAAGTTTTTATTTAGAACTACTATCTGATTATCAGTCAATTCCTTGTTTCTATGCATGGACTCTAGCTCATCATGAAGTCTTTGATTTTCTTTCATCAAAACTTCATTTTCTCGAAGGAGGGAAATCTTCTCCTGCAGCCAGACAATCCATTGTGAAACACAGTCAAATTTTGCTTCATTTCTTGTTTGTAATATCTTCATAGGAACCTTGTATTTTGTAAAAGCAATTAACACAAATGATTGTCTGGGTGAAGGCTATTGCTTTAGTTCATCAATATTGAAAAGAACTAATCCCTTATATTCATCATAGAAAAAAATATTTTTACTAACATAGTTACTTCAACCAAATGGAGTATACACCAAGAATTTATGATAAATTAATACCATTATTTTAATATTGTTATTCATAATATAATGCCTAGCACAGACAATAAATGAACAATCTAACTAGTGGTATACACATCTTGTCTAATAATAGAATTATAAACACACAAACAAAGAAAGTTCTCCAGAAGTATCCATGGAGTACTTCCAAAATGTGGTGTTTGACAGGTGCAAACCAGTATATATCCACAAGCAATAACTGTGCTTCATAGTTCACAGCTGGAAATATGTGCTTTTTCTTAGTCCTCCTCTTTCCTCACCCTTCGTTTTTTTACTCTTAACCTTTGCCAGTATCTTTGTATTAGAATGATGGCGTAGACCACTGGCGGCACTTGGTGGTCCATCTTGACAAGCATAGGCCATGTCAAAACCAAGGATCATTGGAACCAGAAACATGCCATAACCATTTCCCTAATCCCTTTTTTCTTTTGTGTTTTTGTTTTCCACATAATGCTACATTTCAAGATGTCAGATCACCTTGCACCAACTAGAAGAAATACCAGAAAAATTATTGTCTGCAGTCCAAGCTCTGCCTTTCTTCTTTTTGTTGCCAGAAAAACAAAATCAAAACGTGTCTTCTCTTTCAAATTTTAATAAGGCAATGAATAGACAACAAAATTTAAGTTTGATTCAACCAATATATTCTTAAATGATTGAATTTAACTTTTTTCCTTTATTTTTTCATGACATGTACCACTAACACACACTTGTAGATAACTCATTGGTGCTACACACAGCCAATAGCATGCATTATACAGAACTAAATCACTAGCATGTGCTGCCAATGTTTACATCCATGTAACAAACATCCTATGTTTCTTGAACTATTTTGGTACCTTGAAGATGATTTTTCATCCGTAAGCCTGGTGGTTTCCCTCTTCATCAAAGACTCTTTACAACTTTTGGAGTAGCATAGAACTTTTAGTTGAGTGCATTATTTTAATCTATAACCAATGAGATCAGTGCTTTGAATCAAGGAATGCAATTTTGATTATTTTGGTACAGTACGGACGTTAGTTACCAGTTCGACTTCTGACCGGCATGTAGAACAGCCCAACTTTGGGCGGTTCATATGCAATACAGGGCTTACAACCCTTGAGCCCTGTGAACCAGATGGTAAAGCCTATGAACCGGTCTGCTAAAGACTAACTGTCTATCATGATGTGCTAACTGTCGGATACAAAGCTGATGTTAGGGTACTAAGGTCTTTGGCTATTGATCATCAAACGATCACTAGTAGTGATATGTCAGCACTTGGTGATCACTAATGGTGAAGATACATGCAATCTCCAGCATCCTGAAATGGCCTATGCAGACTGTCAAAGACAAATTAAAAGAGACATGAGACATGCTAATTTTCAACATTTATAATTATTAAAAAATTCAAGGTTGAAGTAATTTGTTTTCCTTCATCCACTTTATTGATAAATTGAATAGTAAACTTGACAATCATTTTATGAAAAAAATCACACACATAAAGCAACTCTACTAACTGCTACTAATACAAAATCAAACAAGCCCTTAAGCTCGTAAATATGATCTACTGATGGAAACATCATGATATGAACAAATAGGTCAATGGATGTACAGTAACATATGTAAATGAAAGAAATGTCATTTTAAGGGTGAGAGAAAACTTTGCCCAGAGTTTGGATATGTATCACCAATCCCAATTAAACATGGAATGCAACTAGTTTGGATTTGGAACAAAATATTGTCTAAAAAAAATGGAAACCATGTTCGAAAAGGTACCTCAGCAGCCTCTGAAGTGGATGAAAGATATTGATAATAATATCGACGCAGAGCATCAGAAACACAAGCAGAACTTTGTGGCCACACATCTAGATTTTGATCAGTGACCTATAATACAAGAAGGCAAAATAAAATGTGCTTAAGCATTTTGTGCACAATAATGAATAGAAAAAAAATAAGTAAAATCAAGGATACGATAATATTTGTCCATCAACAAAAAGGAATTTAAATGATAATCTTAACAGAAGTTAAGTCCTGATCAATCAGAATCTCATTTAACATAAATGTTCTGACATATTCTGCAATTGCTCAAGATGACAGCTTATTCTATATCATGTGAAATGATTAACCATCCTACTGCATCAGTTGAACTTGTTAGTTATAAATGTTTGCTGTCATGCCACTAAGTCCTACTCACCTCCTCAAGAAATGTCATAGCTGTAAGGCGGTACCCGGCAAAGAGCAAGTACTCCTTCACAGCGCAATTTATATCTTTGCGTTCGGTGTCCTTTAAAGGGCCTAAAGAGACATAAGAGATCTCCCTCTTGTTATGTTGATATGTAGGGCCATTAGCTACAGACACACCTGAACTGGAACCTGAACTAGAATACAAGAACAGCATTAGAGTACTTTTGTTTATAGAATAATATTTTCAAGACAAAGGCATCAATGAAGTGTTAAGTATTGATATGAACAAATCTCATAAATATAAAATACTAATTAAGGACAAATTTCCAATTGCCACCATGTCGTGAATTTAAATTGATCAACAAAAACACAGTAGCAAGATAATAGCTATACAACAAGACATAAGCATGTCTGATAAATTTTCAGGAGATTCTGAGCTTTTACCACTTATCTTAGTATCTTATCCAAGTCACTTTGTAGATCACAGGAATCATTTACATGTTTAAGGTCCATGGAGGCATCTACAACATGTACATAAACGCTAAGGAGAAATATATGTTTGTTAGGATGGACAAATTAAAGAAAATGAAGCTTGTTCCTTATTTTGTTTGTCGAACATTTTCCATTATCATAGATTTCCCACTTTGAAGCTCTAAAAGAAATCACAAAGAAACTTATGGTGTTGCAATTTGATACATAAAGAGTTTTGACATAGGATCCACTTAATTTATGATACAGCCCTGGTTGTGACTAATTATATTTTAGAAGTTCCATCTAGATTTCTGAGAAATCTAGGCAACCTAAGTGATACACAATTACACATCATTCAAAAAAAAAGTTTTTATTAACATAATGCTCGAGAGATCTCAATATTATGCAAGCCGCAACCTCAAAATTCTCTTTTCATGCATCATCTAGGATAGAGAATTGTTGGTATGCAACCTGTAAGCTGTAACAATGGAATGCAAACAAACATTTCTAGACAGTCTAGATTTTACTATATAGCCGACCATAGTTATGTTTCCTCAACCTCTTTTTCTATAGCAAAGAAGCTGCTGACCAATTATATACTTCCCCTCTAAGTATGAGTTTATGTGTAATTTTATAACAAATGACTCATAGGTAGATTTTAAATGCTCACTGACATGATAAATATCCACACAGTTTCATATACTGCATGCTTGAGATAACATGCATATCATAGGGATTGTTTCCATCATCGAGAACAAACCATTAAGTTCATCAGGGCAGGATTGTTTTTGCTTTTGTAATTCCTCCTTCAGTCTTGACAAGTCTTCTCGGGCTAAACGCAGCTCATATTCAGTGATTGCCAACTTTTCTTCTACTGCTACTTTCTCCTCTAGCAAACTTTGTGGCTCGGCAACTGCAACAAGTTCAAGAAATATCACAGGAGTTTCTCATACAAGTACAAGCCAAGTACAGTTGACAATAGAACTTGTGATGTTACATGGTAACATTTTGGACAAGCAGAAACATAAAAGTTCAACATCTAATTTGTTGAATTACCAAGTTCAATGATTAATACTAGCAACTTAAACAATTTGTTCAACATCAAAACCAACATGCTAAATGCTATATACCAATAGCAATCGATGATTTATCACAAGATCTATTGTCAAAACGCATCAAAAGAATCTTGTCCAATCATCAAGATTTATCGCATGGAACGATGTCACAACTTAAAATGCCGAAATAAACCCGAGTCAGAATCATCACCAAAATAACATGATCACTCAGGTTGCTAGAGAACCCAGATCCACCAACATTTAGCATGCTGTTTTTGTCAATATTACCCAAATGCCAGCAGCCGAGGTTACTCCTAGATTGATATTGTTTAATTACCCATCATCGAAATTAAGGGTTGGGGAATTCCTAGGGAAATGATAGAGATGAGTTGGTCGGTTTTATGCCACAAGAAAGTCGATTCTTGAAAAGGGGATCGACGGGAGAACAACGGAGGGTGCAAGCGAACCTCTAAGGGAGTTCAATCGAGAGATCTGGTCGGGGGGGAAGAGCGTGGAGTCGGCGAAGTAGTCGCGGAGGCGGATGGCCTGGTTGTGGCGGCCGTCCTCGAGCAGCTCGTGGAGGAGCTCGAAGGCGGTGAGCAGGTAGTTCTCCTGAAGCAGGAAGTTCACCACGCAGTTGCACAGCGACGACCGCTCCACGTCCATCGCCAGCCTCGAAGCCGGATCCCCCGCCCCTCCTGCCATCTCCTCCGCCTCCTCTCTACCTCTCTCTTCTTGAAAATGCAAACGGATCCCTCCTCTGGTCTTCTTCTCATGTCACGCGGAGGAGACGGGGATCAAGATTTTGCTGGTATTGAAACAACGACATATATAAGACCAATTGACGAGAATAACGAATCAATAATAATTGCAGATCTGGAAGAACGAAGGAGCTCTTACGGAGGAACAAAAGGCGTGAATCCCGAGTATTACTCTTGTGTCTATTGTAAAGCGGTGAGACGGCTGGCATTTGGGTTTGACTCGGATCGGTGGTTGGGAAGGACCGAAATTGACCCAACGGTTCGGATCGTAATTTAAGAAACTTATGTCGGCTATTATATGATTTCAGAAAGAATATATTTTCTTTTTTATAATATATATATATATATTATAATATTCGTATATATTCTCATAAAGATAATTTTCAGATAAAACTCTTCTATATATTTTTTTTTTGGGAAGATACTCCCATTTTCCAATTTTACAAGGGGTATTATAATCGTATAATACCTTGACATGAACCGAGCCAATTCTTGTTGTATATGATTTACATGGTTAGTTATAGTAATTTTTTAGTAGATGTATAATATTTTTAGCACATCATCAAAATACTATTAAGTAAAACAAATTAGATCAAAATTTAATACATACCAACTTATATATATAATTAATATTTTTAAATAAATATTTTTTATTGATTTATGTACAATATCAATCAAATAGGGAGAGTTCTATATCAATTTTAGAATGAATGTCCTTATAATATTTTTTGCATATTTATGAAAATACTATAAGATCATTCAAAACATAATAATATTTTCATAAATATTTGGTGGTTTCGATATTTTGAAATTTAGTGCTAAACGTAGTCATTAATTTAATTTTGTTGGATGAATATTCACGGAAGTGAGATAGACAAAAAAGAATTGTAATTTAAAGGGATATAAAAAGAACAAAATCATCGAAGAAGCATATATGCAATATCAAATGATTTATCCGAAGTTTGATGGACACGTAAAACCACCGCTGAGAAAAAGTGGGGGACGGAACGGTAGGTTTATGATCATCATATCAGCCGTTATATCATTCTAAAACGTCGATACGAACATTAATCGTGTCGGTTTATGATGAGTATAACGATTGTTTTATGATTTTTGGGAAATAGAAAGCGTTACGACCACTGTCTTGGATCTCCACCCTCTGCGCCGTCGACGTCGCCGTCGTCTCCTTCTCGCCCGGCGATGGACCGTCGGATCCCTGGAACCTGAGATCCAGGCCTTGAGAAAGTTGATCCAGGGAAGCCGACCTGGCGATCTCCGAGATCTGTCCAATGTCACTGCCATGGGGATCTACGAGCTCCTGAGCTGGACTGATCTCTTCCACGGGGACGATGAGGCCTCCCTCGCTACGTTACTGCACCTGATGGAAAAGAAATTTGCAAGAATTTCTTACCCTATTTGCTTTCTGAATTAGCTACAAGAAAGAATGGTATTTTATTGTGAAAAAGGTGGATACATATTTGAATCTGTTCTCTGATATAGTGAGCAAAAAATCATTTACTTTTGAAAAAAAAAAAAAAGATCGTGCATTTTTCCTAATAACATCTGTTTAGAGAGCAGTGTGCTGATTCTCAAGTTGCCTGTTGGTGTTTATGACTTGCATGCTATATAGATTCATATTAATATTTACCTTTCAGTACTTTTTACATTTAAAATAGCTTAAGAAATGATAAGATTTTCTTTTGCATTTTGGAAAACAGACACATGGCAGCAGTACCCAATTTTAGGCTTAGACAATGATATATAGCAGTACTTAGTTGAGAACTGCTTCCATATTTTATTCCATGTCAATCAGCATCATTTTATGTTTTAAAAGATCATAAGAAACCCTCATTTATCCATCTCCTAATGAGTTTATTTATAAGATGCATGAGACAGACCGGTCGTATGATTTGCTTACTCAGATTGTTTATTCATCTCCTTTTAGTAAATTTATAAGAAGCATTAGAGAGGAGGCAGCTAGGACATGAGAGAAAGAAACACACATGGGTGTTGTAACTTGAAACTTTCAAATGCAAAAGAGAAATGGGTTGATATCAGTATTGAGTGGTAGTATTGCCGTCCATATAGCTGGGTGCCGGTTGCCTAATCGAGTGCTATTCTCAGTGCTGTAATCTTATTGTGTGTTACATCCGATATTGAATCAGATCGAGCAATTATACCCTGCCGACATACTGGATCAGATATGGACCAGTAAATACCATACAGTACTGTCCAGTATGACCAAAGTCAGATTCCTTGATCAGTGTGTCTCACTTCCAAGAATTTAGAATTATGGAAGGTTGTGAAGAGATTATGTCTGACCGAATTAAGCAAATATTCAGGCTTCCCTTATTGCGGCTGTCAGCTGAACTGGTTGCCACTCGAGAGTTGCATTTTCATTTTACAGCTTATTCATATAAACAAACTCGATCTTGTTTGTCAGGCAAATCAGCTGGTCTGGAAAAGGGCTTGTAACTGTTGAATTAAATGTTGCATAGACTAGCCAAATTTATAATTTTGGACTTGAAAAGATTCTTGATGACAGCACTCGAAATATAAGCATAAACTTGACTTACCATTCATGTTGAGTAACTATCTCAGAGAATAGGTGCTCTGTCATAGCACTATTAGTTAGCAAATTGGATAATTGGCATGCTAATTGATCCGCATCTCTAGATAAATTTGGCACATTTGCAAGTTCAAAGTTCGAATTTTTACATGCATATTTTACTTCTCATTATATTTCTTAATGATATAGCTAATTACAGGGAAAGATGGAACAAGGGGTTCTGCTCGAAGATCATGAAAGGAACTGCAAAGGGCTCGACTTTCTTGCACAATTTTAGTCCAAAGAAGTATGTTCATGGAGATCTCAAACCTTACAATGTACTCCATGGACTGAATATCAAACCATACATATCTGATTTTGCAGTTGGATGTCTAGCAAACATAGCAGGCTGATCTCCATTTCTTCAGTCAGGTAGAGTAGTTCTTGACAAAAAATCATGGCAAACAATCAGATGTCACATTGACCCATCATAACTCAAGGATCTTGTCATCAAGTCAAGGCATGGATCGAAGAACTTGTTCTTGTGGAGGCTATGGAAATGAATTTGGTTCACTTTAAGTTTTGCATCGAAGAGAAGAAACTCTTCTTGAATGTGTTGGATCCTTTTGTAGCTCAAGATTTACATAGAGAAGACAATATTATAGTGCTGAGAATTGCTTCGGCTTGTGTTCAACCCAATCCTGAAACGAGACCATCATTGAGACATGTTGCTGATGCTCTGGAAAGATTGAACAACCAAAGCTAGAAGTGCTCACAAGGATCGCAAAAATTTTGCAGTTAGAACATTGGAGGTGAGGCTGCCTTTCCCATGTCTTGTGGTATATGCATCATTCTAATAACTTCCTGCAAAGTTGCTTTGGTTCTAAGTGCCAACATGGCAAGCCATTGGATTATATACCACAAACAAAGGAGAATTTTAACCAAGCTGGATGAGGTAATAAAGGCCACCAAGCTTTGTTGTATATTAGCCAAAACAAGCGGCATCTTGTTTTGATGATCTTGTACTGTACCGGTCACTCTGTGTGTCCCTTAACATTGATCAACAATGTTTGTAACTGTTGTCATCATCTTTTTTCCTAACCATAGCTTGATGTGTTTTCAGATTCTCATTGGTTAGCACTTCATGGGAGTTTATTACTTGGTGGTTTAGGAGAATGTATGGATGAAAAATGTAGATATTGTTTATATTTGATCGATCAAATGATTTGATGCTTCTTAATTGACTTACAGATCACCGGGATTTTTAGGACTTGTCTGAAAACATATTCTTGAAAGGCAGACACAATAATATAGTCTCACATTGGGTATGAAAGAAAAATATGATTTACTATGTAGAACTTGATGGATGTACCTTCACTAGTTTAGATTGAAATATTTTGGGTCAACCATTTAGGCATATTGAGTTCACAGGTGAGTTAAAAATAATTGTTGTAGCAGTTCTTCATTTCATGAGCTATGGATTGAATATTCATTTCATGAATCAAAAGTATTCATTTGGATATTCATGTCACATCGAAGTTTCAGATCTCCAATCCCTTCAGGACAATGATATATAGCTTAATTTATATATGTCATTCCAGAAGACCATGGCCACATGCACTGTGTACAATATCGATAGAAAGGACCACATACATTGTGAACTACCCTCAAAGGCTCATGCACACATCCATTTTGATGGGTTGATTTGCTTTCTATGTCAAAAGAACTTATGCACACATCCATTGCGCATTACGAAACTCTGGCTTGGTTCAATGTATGTGGCACTATGCATACAATACTTAATCATCTTGTGACAAATAATTAAACCAAGGCCAAGTAAGGAATATGTTATGCAAAAACTTTAATGGTGAATAATTTCGAGTCACAGTTTTCATTTTTATTTTTACACAAGATAAATAATGGAGGTACAATGATTAAATAATATATTATTGCTTGATATATCTTTCATATTTGTTACAATATACTTTTTTATGGTTTAATAAATATAATTTCAATTCCAATTTTCATTGTCAACTAATGCAAAAAAGATATGAACAATATGACTAAGAAAAGAAACTTTTCCTTGTTAACAAGGATATGCTTTTGCTTTGTCCAGTTCAATGGAGCCATAGATGAGTGTGCAAAGCCAATACAAGAGCTAACACACCAAGGGGTGGAAATGTTCCATGGGTTGAGGTCCCTTGGAAATGTCCACTACGGTCTATATAATAACACAACCTTGTGCTGCTGCATGCCATGACTTGTTAATTTAGCATATCCTTTAGGGCATATCCACGCATATTCTACTCGACAATCCTCTCACAATTTGCTTCCACCACCTCTTCAACGATCAAATCTAACGTCGACAACCTTACTTTTGCAGAGTTCTTGATCTTATCTTCTCACCATGTCTGACTTCAATCCAGTTCAGAGAAGAAATCCCCAAGATGATTCTTGGTGCTTATGCGACCATCCGACTCTGTTGTTCCTATTCTGAGATCGTCTCTAACATCACCTTTTCCTTTGGCTTCTACCAGATCGGAAGGAGATGGAGAACGCTCGCAGGTTTCAGGAACTGATCGATGCTCTCGACGAGGAGCGTCGAAAGGTGGAAGTCTTCCACCGCGAGCTGCCGCTATGTCTGCATCTCATCAACCAAAGTAATTACACGCTAATGGCTTCCTCCTCATGTTTCTCTCTCTCTTGTGTGCTTACTCTAATCGTTCCATCATGCACCCAGCGATCGAGAGCTACAGGCAGCGGCTGATGGTTAGAGATCTCACTCTAAGCCATGAGCTCGCAGAAAAGGAATGGATCTCCTTGAGACCCAGTTCCATGTCTTCAGAAGTCTCGGGGAGTAAGCAGCAGCATCCATGGCCCAGAATGGTGGGGCTACGAAACTAATGTTCATCTCTTTTGGTACTCCAGATTTCGTCATGCACTGATACTAGCAGATCTCTAAATGCTCAAGGCGACGAAGAGCTGGGGAGACTCCCAGTCTTCCGACAAAGAACAGGATGCAGCTGCACCGATCACTGGACCTGCCGGTCGAGAAGGTGACGACAATGGTGGCACAGACGGGGAGAAGAAGGAGAAGTTTCGGCATAGACGACGAAAGATGAGGCGATATTGGACAGAAGATCTCCATGAACGGTTCTTGCATGCACTGGAGCAGCTCGGTGGCTGCCATGGTGGGTTCCCAACTAAGGTTTTCTTCTTCTCCATGTGTCGGTACTTATCAGTCTGTGAATATTAATTGCTTGAGTGCAGCTGCAACACCGAAACAAATCAGGAAACTGATGGAGGTGGATGAACTCACCGGTGATGAGATCAAGAGCCACCTGCAGGTCAGTTCGATCTAAGCATTCCTCTTACCAAAGATGGAAAAAGGCATGACTCATCCAGATTATGGATCATGAAATCCGAATAAGATTAGGTTATGCAGCTCCTTTTTTTAAAGACCTATATACTAAAAATAATCCCTGACCTACTAACTTCGATCTTCTACAACAGATTCCCACTATGCTACTGTTCTCATGACCTACTAATTAAACTCAAAATTATATGACCTTCCCACACTGTTTCTGCTTTAAACAAAAACGGATTGATCTCTATATAAACCTGACATTTGAGAACCAAGTTCTGTCTGTCCACATGCAAGTAGGGTTCTAAGTGCCTTGTCATTTTCTACCCGTACTTTGCATCTGATCTGATCTTTTCTTGAACTCCATCGAGTCACTCCATCTGATTTCACCTTGACAAGAAAACTACAGTTAGCAATCACTAGATTATGTCGATCGTGAAGCTTAGAGATATTTGTTTCAGAAATTTCGGATTCAGTCGAGAAGAACAAGCAGCATGCATCACAGCAGCAGCAACACCTCGTCTGCCGACTTTGTGGTGGTGAGGGGCATATGGATTCCAACTCCGGAATATTCCTCGATCTGCATGGCAGCAGATGAAGCTGCAGCACACCCTGGTCAAGTCGCCGACACGCCGGAAACCGAAAAGTTTGCTCCTGTTGCTAACGAGCAAGAAACCAAGTAGCCCTTCCGCAGGAGTTTTGCATTCGAGACGATGACTGCTAGCAGCATTGCATGCACTACGTTCTCCTCAAACGCATTGATAAGTACTGAGATGTGTGACAGTGTTGGTTTGCTCACCCTAATCTTCTTCTCATTTCATCTTCCTTCTCTTTTTGTCTTTTGTCGATCCAGTGTTCGATTTGACACACTGAACTGACTTGGTGTTTATGGTTGCCATGATTCGTATCAATGTATTTACTGGAAAATTCACATAAAAGCTTAAATAGACAGATAATATTTCCAGCATTCGATCTGTAGCAATGCAACTACCAAAATTTCAATTATTATTATTATTTTACATGAAACTTTATTTAAAATCTGAGAATATATGGTAAAAAAAGCTTCTCTATGCAATGAAATCGGATCGGGTTTTGATTATGGACTATGATTCTGATCCGATGCCCGAAATAGGTACGGGTCGACCTGACCCGATTAATAATTGGATCGGCAACGGTTCCCTAGCGGCCCGATCTGGTAAAAACCGACCCGGGCCGAGCCGGGCCGTTGTTAAATTATTATGTATTTTTTATATTAAGAAAAATATGGGGCAAACAGTTGATTTAAACTCCGTCACTTCCCCCAGCTCGGGAGACACCGTCTGAGCCTGCGCTTCGTCTACTCTTCTGTCAGCAGGACGCCTTCCGCCGCTTGCCCGCGGATAACGAGGAAACCTAACGAAGTCCGCCCACTTCCTCCGGCTGCTCGTCGCGGTGGCCCTCACCGGCGAGATCCAGAGCGTGCGTGCCACCGAGGAGGACGATCTCCAGCACCGTGTGACAGTAGAAACCATAAACCCTAGGTGCTTTTTGTCACTGCTATCGCAGAATCCTAAGCTACTAGTATTACTATGAGCTCTTTATTTTGGTAATGGAGTAGGGTTTTCTTTCCTAATCGATGCCTGTTTGGTCCCGATCCTCTCTCTCTCTCTATTTGCAATCAGTCCGTCGGTCCTTCTTGACCTCTGCTTTCAACCGATGTTTCGGGCGGATGAACGGGAGACTCAAACGATCGATATGGAGAAATTAGTGACGGCTTATCACAATATCATGCTTTGAGATCGGAAAAAAGGTGCCGCATGTCTAAGGGTGACTTTTTAATGAATGATGCATATCAGCGCGTAGATCAACTGCGCAGCTGATTTGTTAGGTAGCGATAGTTCAAAATTACAGCTATAAGCTTCTCCTCTCTTTTAGGCAAATTTCGTCTTCCTTGATCATAGATTTGGTCCTTTCGTCTCCTTGTTTCGTTGCTTTTTTTCTTTCCTGACCGTTGTACAAACACTACTCTTGCTTTGTGAACCAACTCATCTCTCTTTCTCTCTTTCTTGCTTGATTCATGATTGAGAATACGTATTCTAAAGATCAAGTTTATAGTGTTACCAACTATTTGTCCATTTTATCTTTTCAGGTGGTGTTGATCGTATCTCGTAGGGGAGCTTTTGTTGCATTGCGGAAAGGTACTTGACCTCCTGAAATATAAATTCCGTTGGTTTTTATGTTATGTGAAGTTCCACGTGTTGTGCTCTGTTCTTTTGTTGCATCTCTCCATGAGGTACAATTTGTCGCATCTCCATTTTCCTTCACATTTTTGTAATACTTTTGGTTTCAAATTATTATCATCTTTTAAAACCTTCCATCCTCTGCTTACTAACTATTGTCCTTCTATCAAATGCCAATATGTATCTTGACTTCTCTGTAGATTATGCGAGTGGAACACATATTTATTCACTAATAAGCGATAATGCCACATGCTCCAAATAAGGCCACATCTTGTCCGATTAAAATCACAAATTTTCTTTTACGAGTGACATTGTTTTTCTCCTTGATCCCCATAATTTATATGCTTCTGTATTTCAACCCAAAGCAAGTTATTATTGGTTGAGACAAACAACTTACAGTCGTTTATGTCATTCAGAGGATCCCTTTCCCAAAGCTGAGTGCAAGAGTTACTTCTGTTGATGATTGGTTCCTTTTCTAATTAGGTGGTCTTAAATGTTAGAAACCTAAGGGATCTTCTAAAACAACTTTCTTCTGTTGAGCATATATATTTCTGGATTCTAGACTAGAAACAGTATTTTGAGTTTCATACTGCGATCGAACCTCCAAAATTTTGGTATTAGACCAGAGAGCCTAAAATCAGTTATTAAGATAAAAATGTTAGAATCCTAAGGGACCTTTTAGAAACAGCTTTCTTCTATTGAGCATTTGTATTTCTGGATTAGACCATAGAAAGCATTTTGAGTTTAATGTTGTGATAGAACCTCCAAATCTTTGGTACTAAACTGAAGCGCCTATAAAAGTAACATGAACTACTCAGCAATAGACGAGGCCATCACTTTGGTTTAGACTTCATCCCCTGTGAGGCCTCTAGTGACATTGGATAAGTAATCACCTGTACAGAATTTAGAGATCTACGCACATACATATTTCATTACTTGGGATCAAAGGATATTAATCCTACCCTAACCAAACTCTCACAGAAGAGGCAGAATCCTCAAGAAAGCAAATGAATTTTTTGGAATGGACAAATATATAAAACAAGGAGACGACCGACAAAGGAAGCTTTGCCTAATAGCCTCTGAGGTATACTTTTGTTTTTCTATATGGTTTTTCGGTTCATTTTCTTTTTTTTCCATTAAGATCTTTTGGTTTTATATGGTATAATCACCGGGGTTTTTCCACTCCTTCCCAAATTAAAATTTTCTGTAATTAGAGTTTTGTATTATTCGGATTGATTTGTTTCCTTATTTGTGTAATATACTAATATGATTAAGGAAAGTCAATTAGCAATTGAAATATGGTTCCTAAATTTTGTGGACTAGTTAGGAATTTTATTGATTAATTAATCCAAAAAATATTTCTATTTCCTTGAGAACCCTCACTCTTCTATATAATGCTGGTCAGTCCCCTTTATTTCATCAATAGGGTCAAGAGGACTCTAACAACAAGGATCAGAGAGAGTAGAGAGGGACCTCCGTCTTGAAGAGAGCTAGGTCCTCTACCTTTCTTTCATTCAATATCATGATTTATATTTTTACTAAATTTTAGGAATTAAAGGTATAATGCATGACAATGTTTATTCAATTAGTTTAAATTTAAACTTTTAATTAATTAATTAAGCATGGCCTATCATGCCATATATTGAACATAGTCTATTATGAAATTTTATATGATTTCCTTGAATACATGCATGAATGAAATAAATGAAAATTAACAATTGTGATGTATGATTATGAGCACTATGTTTCCCTGCCAAGGGTAGGCAGGCATTACTGGTAGGTGATTACCTTTAGGATTAACGAGACATTAGACATGATGGCAAGATGATTTTCATCTATCATTGGGAGGAATGTTGCTCCCACTTTTGTTGGGAGTGCAATATGAGTTCTCTCTATCTATCATTGGATGATTAGAAGAATGCAGAATTTATGTCATGGAGTAAAAACTCTTTGTATGTTGTTGGGAGAGGGCACTTCGAGTGTATAACACACACACCTATGTTATCCGTGATGTCACTTTTGCATATGATTGAGATATGTGATATGTTGTATGAAACTGAAGCATGATTTCATTTACTGCATAGGAATTATTAATGAATATAATGATGCATAAGTTCTTATTTGAAATATGAATTTCATGAAAAATTTATTTTATTTTTATTTCATATATATTGATTGAAGTAGCACTATCAAGAAGTTCCAACCTTTTTCTATGTACTTATTGATTTTGATGTGGTGGTTTATGCATGATGTAATTTTCTTAGTACAGAGTTAAAGCATGTTGGTGTGTGTTATATGGTGTCGTTGAATTTCATACTGATTGAGCCCTTTGTTTTGATCTTCTTGATTGTGGATTAATGCCGGCTCTTATTTTTATATAGTTTTATTTTTACGGTTCTTTTTTTGTATGCAAAATTGATTTGATAGAACACATTAATATCTTTTTCCATTTGTGCATCTGATGCTGTTGCATAGTTCTTGAGAGCTTTGAGATTATTTGAGTGAGTGATTTGACATTTCGCTAGATTTTTAGATGTTTTGTGATGCAAATTTTATCATAGGTTGGAGATGTGATGAAACAGAAGAATTATGCAAGCAAAATAATGGGTATTTCAATATGCATATGCTATTATCAATTTTTGGATGATGGGAAGAAAAACATTATCATGAATGAATACTAGGGACATGTTTTCAGTATTTATTTTGTCACTGCTTGGTAAAAATGATACTGAAGGTGCCACTTTGGATAAGCTAGTCTTTTGAGCTTAGGATACCCTTCTATGTTTTCTTTAATTTCTTACTTCTTCATACAACTTTGTAGATTGTTAAAAGTTTTGCTAATTCTAGCACACCATTGGTTGACATGGTTGATGTAATATGCACATTAAATTAAAAGAAGGAACATCTATTTTCTTGGTGGACTGTTCCTTTCTGATTTGATTTTAAGACTGTGCTTGAATTTTTCAATGATAAAAAAACTATGCAGAGTCTGAATCCCACTGTTGCTTCTCTTGTGAGGTCATCTTATGTCTTACTTTCTGCTGACGAGTTCACATATTTTATATACCTTTCTGTCTGGATGAATTGTCAAAAAGAATGGATTTTTTTCATTATTACTTAAACCTGTAAACATAAAACTTATTGGTTAAAATTGTTTGGATTCTTTGAATTGGAAGTCCCTTCATTCTATTTACAGTCGGTGTTCCCACTCAACTTATGATAGTTCGTTGGTGATTTGCCAGATGTCTTTGCAGGAAAGTCTCAATAGATTTCAGCGACAGCAGGAGAAGTGCCAGACAACTCTCACCCGTATAACAACCCGAGCTACACTTCCAAAGGTCGTTCAGTCGCACAAAGCAACACCTGCAAGCAATTCATTGGCTCCTTCAAAAGTAACTGCATCAGTGAAATTCTCAAATGATACGGAAAGGCTACAACACATTAATGCTATTAGAAAGTCTCCTGTTGGTGCACAACTTAAACGGGTTATTGGCCTCCTCTTTGAGGTATGATATTTTATTGTCCAAGAAAATAGTAATATGTGACTGTGCCCTTGAAATTTATGATTATTCTCACTGGTCTAAATATTGTCAAAACATCTAGGTTCTATATATCTACTATGTTTTGTTAACTTTTTGAAGGCACTCTAACAAAAATTATTAGTTCAACTGAACATTGAGGAGATCTGATGATATGAAAAATCCTAAAGGCAACTATCCTGTTGCAAAAAAAATTATAATTTTATTGGGTCATATGATCAAGTTTTGAGTTTCATAAAGTCTCAATTACAAAAAAGAGTTGGCTGCTCCCTCAATTGTGGTTTGATTACATAATGGAATAAATTTGTGCAATATGTGGCTCAACCAAAACTATATGTTCAGCTCCATTATGTGCAAGCACACATAGAAAACAAAAAGTAAGAAACAAAATTTGGTGAATTGTTTATTATGATTGTGCCTGTAAGGTTCTTAGTTGATAGAATCTTGCTTGTGGAAGCAAATCAGAACCAAGAAGGGGCAAAACCCATTATGAGTAGGTTGTTAAGACTACTATCTTTTCTGTCTGTCAACAATCTATAGGCTAGGATCTTAAAAGAATACACTTCTATGAATTATTATACTCTTGATCTGCACTAATTTATGCCTCTTTCTACCTTATGCAGACGAGGCAGACTCTCACACCAGAAGAGATAAATGAAGCATGCTATGTTGACATAAATTCCAACAAGGCCCTTTTTGATAGTTTAAAGAATAACACTAAAGTACATTATGATGGGAAGCGCTTCTCATACAAGGTAAAATCATTTCTGTGAAGAAAATTAGCTTTTGTAACCTTTCTGCATCCCTTTAGAGTTGGTGCTTCATGATCTTCATATGTAGCTCTGCATTAGAATGTTTCATGCCAGGTTTCTTCCATATGATTTGATCTGAACTTAGGCCAATAGTTTACAAGCTAACTGATGAGCGTATGGTCACAGATATTTACTGGTTGCAGTTAGTTTATATATACCTAATCTTAACAATGATTTTTTTTTTTTTTTCTGTTTTTGGCTTTATAGTCAAGATATGAGGACATTTTAGCATTCCTAGTCGCTTAAGATATTTAAGTTATGCTAAGAATTTGACTAGATTATGGGCATCCGTATGGCCTAATTAAGAACATATTTAGCGGGGTTTAAAGTGGAATCAGATGTTCGGTCTACCAGACCAATTGTTTAGTTACAAACTGGCTTTATGTAAATTATGCCTTTCTTTACAGGAACATTGTAGACAGCTATATCCATGTTAGGATGTTACAGTGCTCGACACATCTGTGCTTTGTAATGATACTGCCAAGTTAAATGATCTATATATCAAGTCTCTGTTGCATCAAACATCCATTCTCTATATCATTATGTCTCACCTCTCTGTGAAATATTATAGGTTATCATCTAGTATTTTGGCGAGTTAATGACATGCACCAGGATTGTCAGTTGCTTCGTCGTGCTTTGTTGTTTTCCCAGTTCGTGAGCACTACGCTATTTGTGGATAATCGATTAGTAATGTTTTCTGGATACTGTACAGTCCAAGTATGATCTGAAGGGAAAAGATCAACTCCTTTCACTGATAAGGAAGTACCCAGAGGGACTTCAAGTTATGGAGGTCAAAGATTCATATCCATCTGTTTTGGAAGACTTGCAGGTATTCTATCAAAATTTAGTTGTCTATGATGTTTCTATACAGTGTTTATTTTTGTTCTTATCAAGTTGTTAAAAACTGCATCTTTTCTTGGTTTTGCACATATTTTTAGTCTTCAACCTTTAATATTTTCAACTTGCTTATAGTCTTACGGCATGCAGTCTTACAGTTTGCTCACCGATCTTTTATTCATGTTGCTATTTCTAGGTTGAGAGTTGTTAAATTGAATAAGTTAGTCTTAAAACCTGAGTGTTTGAGACTTATTTATCCATGACCTAGAAAAATCCAGAGATGCAGACGTATATAGTTTTGTTCTTGAGTAAAATGTACTAGGTGCTTTCTGTTTTCAAGCAAAAACTTCAACTTATCGTGCATATGAAAAGCTTATTACATGATCTTGACGGAGTGAGGCTCATCGAGTGTTGGTTTTCATGGCAATGAAATGTGAAGCTGTTTGTGTGCCAATTTTTCCTTCTTGTGTATAATGCCATATCATCGATGCACCTGTAGGCTCTGAAGGCAGCTGGTCAGATCTGGCTACTGTCCAATATGGACTCTCAGGAGGACATTGTCTACCCAAATGACCCCAAGGTGATGATCAAGGTGGATGATGATATAAAGCAGCATTTTCGTGAGATCGAGCTACCAAGAGACATGGTGGACATCGAGAAGGAGCTCCAAAAGAATGGCATGAAGCCCGCCACCAACACCGCAAAGAGGCGGGTCATGGCACAATTTCATGGAATCACCTCCAAGCCTAAGCCGAAGAAGAAACGGGAAATTACCAAGAGGACCAAGCTAACCAATGCCCATCTTCCTGAACTCTTCCAGAACTGAACGTTTCAATTTCTTAGTGCGGAACTGCACCCCCTTCATTAATTTCTCATAGGCATTAGTAGTACCCAAATTGCCTCTCATGTCTGATAGAAGCTTGTAATAGCAATTAATTACGTTTACTGACTGGAGATATATTCCCTTTGCGGATATATGCTCTAGTACGTTGTAATTAATCTCTATTTTGCTTCCATCGATGGTGTTAATGCCAAGGAGCAACAGGAGCTTTGCCTCCTCTCTCGATGCAACATGTCTTTCGCTTGGATTCCATTGATGCCTAGATCACTTCCCACGTAGCTTACTTCATTTGTCATGTCAATCTCCTCTTTGAGCAAGTCATCAATGACAATCTTAACCTATCACGTATTGTCACTCTTGCTATAAAAATGGTGGGTCTTCATGTCGCATGTGTGGACCCACAACGACGGCAACCGATGGAGGTACAAGTACACCCTTTGCTTATCGTTCTTCCTTTTCTTCCTCCTTCAACACTGTTTTGCATCTATGTTGACAAGAGATGAGGCATTTGCGTCGCTCTGCATTGACGGGATGCAGTACTTTTACCTCATCTTTCGTCGACGTAGATGCATAGTGATGCTAATGCAATTACATGATGACGCAAAACGACCATCGTCATCTTCCGTTATTGCTCTCATTTTTTTTACGCCTCCTTTCCATGCAAGAAGTTGTAAAAGTTCCTCAAGCTCCATCAGTATCATGATCATCACCCCTGTCTCAATCATCAATGCTAAAATCAATATCGACAAAATCGACCATTGAGTTATTATTGTTGACTATCACCGTAACAACCACTTGTGACCCTCGATGGTATCGTCGTCTACCACTATTATAACAATCAACTAAAAATTTTTAATTAGGACATAAAATATGAAAATGTATCTGGGAGATTAAAATTATATTTTTGATCATCATTTTTATATCCTACTGTCATGTGCTATATCTTCAATCGTGAAATTAAATGTTTTACTTTTATAACTATAGAAATTTCAATATAAATTTTTAAATTTAAAAACTAAAATATTAAATTAATCAAAATATAAAGAGATAATATATAATTAACCCAAAAATACCCACATGCCCCTCCGTTCTAAAACCCTATCATATCATACATATAAAGCATAAATGCATATGTTGCCAAAGCATCAAAATGTTGCCCTTCAAACAATAACAAAAAAATACAAAAAGATCAAAGGAAAAAAGGTTCACCCGTATCTTCCAACTCCTAATTTAATGCATCTAACTTTCCCCATCATGGGTTAGCCAAATATTCACAACAATCACCATACAGCTCACAAGCAACGTTGGATCATGAAAACATAAATGCCATCCCACACGCCATACGCAGATAGCAAATCGCAAGCTCTAACTCCATCCGATGCCCTTCTTCTTATCATACATGCAGCTGTCACTGCCACTGCTTCATAAAGACCCAAGGAAATCACCTGCCAGAGTTGCAAGAATTTGAAACTCTCTATCAGATTCCAACCACTTCAAACCGAGTACCTTGAACCTCACCATGGTGTCCTTTTCGAGCTTTGCGTGCTTATCATTCAAAAACATTGGGTTCTCCCCTCCAACGTATTTGTAATCCCTCATCATCTTCTCCGAAAGGAATATACTACTTATTGGCCCGGATTTCAGAAATATGCCTTGCTTCAGAATCTTGTCCACGGTCCCTACTAAAATCTCACCTTTAGCGGGTTTCTGGGTGATGCAGCTGAAAGTCACAGGGAAAAGAACATCTCCTGACAGCTCTCGAACCTTTCCTTCACCTATTGAATTCAAGGTAGTAACTGCAACATAGTACCCGTGCTCCTTCGATGCCTTTCTATTTGCTATGTCATCCATAAGACGCAAGATAATGGCTTTGTGGAGGAGGAGTCCATTTGCATCGAGTTGTTCAGGCAAAATTACCACATTCCATGCCATTTCTACCTCCAGGAAAACCATGTTTGTGATCTGTTAGAAACCAGAGAGAAAACTAGCAGTTTGATCTCACAAGAGTTGATTAAGAGACAAAAAACTTTCTTACAAACTCCATGCTCTTTTATCCAAAAGAGCTTCTCATTCCTCACTTCTCTCCACGATGCAGAATGTAAGCTTCACCATGACCATAATTTGAATGTGAAACTTCACGTATCAGAATTGTGGTTAATGGTTATCTACAACATGTTCCCAAGCACTTGTATTGAATAAAAAATATCTGTAAATTAGATGAAACTTGAAAGGCACAAGTATTTAAGCCTAAAAACGTTTCCTGCATGGCAATTAGCATATTATTAAGGTTCTATCAGATTGCATAATGCTTAAAGCTCATTTATGTGCCTAAGCATATATGGAAATGCAGATATCTTCCTTTTCTCTTGGTAACTAAAATACAGAAATGTAACGAAACAATATTGCAGGAACGCTCATCACAAGACCGACATGACATGACTGCTTTTACTATATCCTTTGCAGTTTAATCGCCAACCTTTCAAAGACCAGACGAGAACTTAGCAAAGCCACTAACTCCAGTTGTAGCATTCATCTGCTCAAGTAGGTCCTCAGAATAACAAAAAGAGAAAACTATTTACCAGGAATTGATGGTTAAAGAAAATTTTAACCTTCTCTCATAGAAATAAGGCTTACTAATGTACTACTACAATGAAATGCAGCATCTTCCTTCAGTAATCTTTTGGAATTCGATGATGTATAAACCTATAGAATTGCCTAAGACAAATTACCCAAGAACAACAAGTGCAGTAGCTCCATCGAACATTTCAACACCACGAAATTCTAATTCTAATATGATGTGCTGAAAATTGCCATTTGATTAACACATTGGCATGAAATGATTGGATGTTAGACATGGCTACACTGTATAGAAGTGCCCTCGCATTCAATACGAAGAAAATAATCGCTCCTATAATTAGGATGTTCCCATGGCGATGGCTATAACTCAATGCCTCCTAAAATCCGCCAGCTTCGTCTCTTTAACCAACCACTTGATGGTTGTGATGCTCAAAATTAGACAGGGATCATATGCTTCGAGTCGAGGGTAGCACAAAGGGCGCATCTTGCGTATGACACACCAGCAAACAACATTGAAGGTGAAGAATGTGTGTGTGTGTGTGTGTCTAGGGCTAATCTTCAACATAAAATTGCCGATTCCCAAATCAGACAGCGACCGAACAAGGCACATCGAAGACCGGCCGAGCAACCTAAAAATATCGGTGCCGAAACCAACGTCTCCCCAAACAATGTGATCTGAACACCGACTTGAATCAGAGAAAAGGGAAGAGGGCGGGGGAAGGGAAGGAGGAGGGAGAGCGTACCCTTAGAGGAAGAGCAGAAACGGCGATCGAGCCGACGGCGAAGGCGGAGGCGGCCGCAGAGAGAGAAGAATCCGCTCCGGCTTACTCGGGTTTCGTCCCCTCCTCGGTTGCCACACTCAAAACAAGATCTTTAAGTCACGACTGAACCCACGACCCGAGGGCAACCGTTCACTTATGTCCCATCTCATATCTCAACCGTTCATTTTGCGCATTGGAACAGCCAAAACTGTACGATCAGATTTACGCTATTTAATTCCCGTCAATATTATTTTGAAGATATTTTGTTTTAATGTCTTCAATATAACAATGATGTTGACCAGTCTATTTGATAGAATTTTTTTAATTATATAGTCTCTGATACAAGAAATATTCACTTGTAGATCAATCACATCACTAGTTAAAGGTAAAAGTTCAATTGAGTAAATCTAGGAGTAATTACATATTGTTTTTATAATTAATTATCTTTAGTATTTCGATTTATATATTTTTAATAGTTACATTAAGATATTTATATTTATAATTAAAAAAATATATTTTTTAAAATTAAGAAAAATGAATTAGTTCTCTCTTTTTATTTTTGTCTTATCGAGTCACCCGATTTATTAACTTGGGCACTAAAAAAACCCCTTTCGATATTGGATTTTTTTAGAATGATGATCATTAACCCATAAATCTATCATGTCAATAATAATTAAAAAACAAAATATTTTTTGAAGTTAGAAAAAGTGAATTACTTCTCTCTTTTTATTTTTATCTTATCGAGTCACTCGATTTATTAACTTGGGCACTAGAAAAACCCCTTATGATATTAGATTTTTTATAAAATGATGATCATTAACACTATGTAGGAAAGTCTCGACACTCAAAAGATAACATTAGTTTCTCCTCATGTGAGCCGATCCTAACTAGGTCGAGGCATCGCCCTATTCAAAGGTGATCACCGATATTGGGAGATACCAAAATCATTTTCTTTCTCCATGCTTTCTGTTCCATGGAAACTTGGGAGCCTCTTGGCTCTTTGCTTCTCTACCACTCTCAAGTTGTCATTGGTAAGATCATTTTTCAGCCAAGTTTTAGGCAGTGATAATATAAGCCAATTATATATATAATGAGCAGAAGTAATAGTCCACGAAAACACATCAAACTGAATAAGTCTTGAACTCCTAATAGCAAATGTATATAAAAATTACTAAGCTGGTAGCAGTGTTGGGTTGACTATATGAGAAGCTATACATATACATGAAGACAAGAGATGGACTCCATTTGAAGCTTGACATTTCAGAGAAAGATACAAGTGTTAGTCCTGTCAGATATGTAGCTCAGATCAAGAATGAAAGATAAAGCAGTGTTTGCCCTTTCATAGGTCAAACTTGAGCATAATTTGTATCAAAATAAATTAGTTTATTCCCACAAGTCTACATATTTACAGCATTTTCATGTGCTGTTAGTGTAAATCAGGGCACAAGTAGGATTCAATTTGACCAATTTCTTTAGAATCTGATTCATATGTCCAAAAACTCTGTTCCAGCTTCATTAAGACAGCAGTGACTGTCATGGATCATTCACATCTTCCTCATTTGTGATGCCTTAAAAGAACTTGGAAGCATGAATCATTGATAGTGCTTACCTTCTCTCACTGTATTGGTGATGCTTGGAGTCAATACTCACCAGCATAAGAAAGTGCACCTTCAACATTCTTAGCTGTGGAATACTTGAAAATTTTCTACTCAAAACAAGTGATATATTTCATCCTAACCTAAATATTGTTGTATGATGTCTCAAGGCAGTTGTGTATGGTATTCATAAATGAAAAGCTGAGTGAAATAACAGCAGGAGCAGATTTTTTTAGGATCAATGTCACACAAACTTATAAAACCAACAACTGAGTTGTTCATAAATCTAATATTTCATTCTTAAGCCTGTTAAACAAGATGACAAATACCTCATTGTATATTTGGGGCAATGTCTCATAAGAAAGAGAGAGGGAGGAGTGTTGTGTGTGTGTGTGTGTGTGTGTGTGAGAGAGAGAGAGAGAGAGAGAGAGAGAGAGAGAGAGAGAGAGAGGGAGGGAGAATATAAACAAGATACCAGATATCATGTTATAGGATTGAAGTGTAATCAGCAAAATACAGGATACTCTTGACTAAGTGGCTAGATGCACTTCTCTGCAAAGGTGCAAAAATTTAGTTCATCACCGAACTTGTCATTCAGAAAAAGACGCTAAAAGAACTATTCTATTTATAGAGAAAAGATGAATGTAGATGGAAGTGCAATCTTCATCTGGACATTCACCATGGACAACAGCACAACTCTCACTTATGTACAGATTAAATCCATTTTTTTCCCAAAATACTTCAAAAATTACAAATGTGAAAGGTAGTAGTGACAATTATTCATGTTCATTAACTAGATTAATTCAATAAAAGTTCATAAGCAGCATCTTACGATATTGTCATCTGCAATGAGTTATTATGTGACGTCTAACAATTTCTAAAATCAGCTAAGGACTCACAGAGCAAGACTTGCAAGACATCAGTTAAAGGGGGCAGTTTGCATATTCTGTACATATTACATCTATTTCTTTGAATTTTTTAACCAAAGAATTAAGCTATCAGGCTTTCCTTCATGGAAGCAGAGTCACAAAACCTAGTGTACATTGACTACCACCAAAAGTAAGACCAGAAAGTGCAGCTCCAGTTGCTATGCATTTATACTTGTACATACTCCAGTTATCAATGCCCAGCGTCAAAGAAAAGACTATGTCAACATAACATCTCTTTGAAAGGTGTAACTACTGATCTGTTGTGGTATAATAATGGTATGAAAATACAGTATCCTGATTGAATTATCCTAGTAATTACACTATCTGCAGCTAAAGTATCAAGCTTTATATCAACAAAAAGGTGGGCCTAGATTAAGCTTTATCATGTTCCAATAACAAGATGCATGGACATCAAGAATGATAACGAGTATACTCTGACTATACAAATGAATTAAGTATCTTGAGTTTGCAGTAAGCATGTGCAGTACTTATCAGACAAGGAAGGAGCAGCTAAAATAATTAGCCAGACCAAGAGAAGAAGAGGTTCCACCTAAGCACACAGACATCTTATAAGTAATCAAAAGCGTATTCAGAAAGAAGTAGGGAGAAAGAAAAACACATTGACTACCGAAAAAACCCCAGCCTTTTGGTTAGACCAACAACTCAAGGAAGAATCACACCGAAAAGAAATTTTTTACTCCAGGAACCAATTTAACTAATCGCTGGTATCAAATAAAAGAACCATGAACTTTCATATAAGTTTATTTTGCAACACTACAGTGAACTGGTTTGTACGGTTGCCCATGACCTGACTGATTGAAATGAGTAGAAGATGCAAACTACATATGCCTGATCAACCAACAGTCTCACCTTTATGCACTTCGAGTGGTCGTCTAAAGCTTCAAATTGTCTCAAAGACTCCTGAATGGCTGTGTTTATCAGCTATTCAATTCAAACAACAAGAAGAATAGACAATAGAGCAATCAATTTTTGACAAATAGGAAAAAGATTTCACAGTTTTAACTTGTCAGACAAAAGGAATCACACAACCGAAATTTAAGAAGAGATCAGTTTACAAAATTTGAATCCTCACATTCAAGAGAGGAATGATGATAACGAAGTGCATAATTGCAAAGCAATCCTCCTCCAATTAACTCAAAATTAGACAAGAATTGACTAAGACCATCAGAGTAAGAGAGGAAAAGTTCACATTGTCGCTACAAACTCTTGACCGACAGACCTTACAAGCTAACAAGATTCCCATTCCACCTATCAGCAATGTGAAAACGAACACAATCATAAACAAATCTGAAACTGGAATAATCTGATCCACAAAAACCGAATCCAATCATTTTGTTGAAAGTTAACAATGTCAGTAGAAACTCGCGCACTGATTCAGATTGCTTTCATTCATATTTTTCGATCTCTACAAAATTTTCGCATAAAAAGATTGAAATCGATACCCGGGAAGCAAAAGCCGAAGTAAAAAACCCAACCTTGCCGCTCAACCCGATCGCTTCCCCTCGCTAAGTCGCCGCCGGGTGCGCCGCTTCCATGGCTGCAGCACCGAATCCTGGAACCTGGAAGGCGTTGCCATTGGCCTCCTCCTACTTTTCCGCTTCGTACCAGCTTCAACTCCGCCATCCAGCTCCTCCTTCCTCATCTCAATTCCTTCTTGCTTCCCTTCCTCCTCCCCAACTCCACTGCTCCCAATCCGTTCGATCTCCAGAGCTGCGTCTCCAAAGACTTCAATGACAGCCAACACCAAGAGATCGAGGCCTTCGCAACGACTCGACGAATCATTAGAAGGAGGGGAATTCAATGAAGGCGACAGGGAGGGAGGGGAATCGGAAATGGAGCTTAAAAGTGGGATCATTGAGGCCCGAATTCTCATTTGGAATGGCTTCTTTTGGGATCAGAGCACGCCGGAATGACCGATGCAGCACAAAGGTAAGATTCTGGAGACCCTAATCGAGTTGGGATTGGATGAGGAGATTGGAGAATGAAGTCGAAGGAGACGAAAGATCGATAGGAGAAAGGTGGAAAAAGGCTTCATTCGTATATGGAAGCGTTGGTGTTTCTTTTTCTGAAAACAAGAAACCAAAAGTGTTTCCTTTTTGATAGCAGAAAAAAAATAAATAAATAAATAAATAACTTTTTTGTTTCTGGAAACTATTATGAAAAGAGAAACAATCTGAACTTTTGGTGGTTTTTTTCCCTTCCGAAAATAAATATAAAAAAACGGAAACAAAAAAGCAATGAGAAAGCATCATTTATTGTGTCCAAATCGATCATGATTGAATTGCTTTCTGCAGCATCTACAGTCCGAAAATGAGTTCTTCATCTCATGCAAGTTTTGTTTTTTGTTTTCTGGTCACAAAAACACAGCTTTTGGATTTCAAAATTGGCTTCCATCCATCCCCACAAGCTGGCAATGCACTGAAGTCACCCCTCAAGTTTGTTCTAACAAATGTAGCTCAGATTAAGGATCCTATTCTGTTAAATCTCTCCCTTTTTTTTTCTATATATTTTTTATAGTATTTTCTGATGTGTTAATAATTGCCAAACCAAACCAAATCA